AAAATTAATAATGAATCGACTAGAGGAATCAGCATCCAGCATCCAACTTATCCATAACAAGCAAAAAACAAACAAACCAGGAAATTCATAGAACAAGAAAGTGCTGCTGTTGCTGCTGCACAAAGTATTGCCCGAAAATGGACAGATGGAAAGGACGAAAAGTTGCGAAAACTTGAGCCACCACAATAGAATGAAATTCAAGTGGCTCGGGCAACATTAACTGAGAGCTGGAGAGCCAACAATGAGAGCTGGCAACAAGAAAAGTACTACAATAAATAGCATTATGCTAATCCAGGCCAAACAGAATGCGCCAAAAGTAAAGAAAAGCTTTTTGGATTTCCCTATCCCCTCACAAAAAAAAAAAAAATAGAAAAGAAGGAAGCACCAGCTGCCAGGAAGAAAGCCCGGAATCGGAATAATAATTACGAGGGAAAACAGAGGCACAGCCTCAGCCTCCGCCTCAGTGCCAACTAACTAACTAGTATTTACTAAAAAATAAGTCACAGCACAACCACAGTGCCAGCAACCCAAAAATTTTCCTGCTGGCTTGCAACTCGAGGCCAAAAAAAAAAAAAATTCCGAGAACGTGACATCGCATAAGAAATAAGCATAAATCCTCTCAAAGCACTCTGAACTGGAGCTTTTTCCAGTAGAACGATAAACTACCAGCTCGAAATGAGCTTTGCATACTGCAGAGCAAATATATATTAGCAGATAAGATGGCCCCAGGATAAGATAATGCTAATTAGACATGACTCTTGGAAGGAAAATAAATGCTAAAGGCTCTTGGATTTTGCTGAAAAAACAATAAATGGTTGAGACTATGATATATTTTAATATTTTAAGGATTTGTTTTATTAGTTATTAGAATTTTTGTTTTGTTAATTAATTTATTTAAGTCATATCATTAGAGTATCGCCAAGAAATTTTAAAAAATTTTAAATAATTTTTATGAAAAAGTGTATTGTCTGCCTTTTAATTTGTTTAGGCTTATTTTAAGGCACAGAAGTAAATGATATTGTACTAACAGAATCATATATACAAATAGTCTTCTATAATCCTCCCTATGAATTGGTGTAATCTTTTCAAAAAATGGTTGGCATAAAAGTATACATCATCATTTTCCACGCAACATTTCAAAATGCATTTTAAATATTTGAGTGTCATAAATTCCAATTATTTAGCGTTACCAAAAACCGAAAATTTATTAAGAAAGAAAACTCAAGAAAAAATGGCATATTTCATGGTTAAGCTTTACGCAGCAAACCAAAGCAGAAATGGAGATAGATACTTCTTACATATATACATACAATATGTACGTAGGTATGTACATATGTACGTACGAACACGCAACATGTTAAATTGTCATAAGCCTTAAAAATTCCATTATGATTATTTACTCTAGTACCCAGAGCCCACCGCCCACAGAAAATGAACATAAAACAAGGAAACACAAACAAAGACACATGGACCGAGATAAGGATACAAAGTTTTCTAAACGAATAAATCTGTTTGTCTTGCTGCCAGGACACAAACAAGCACTCACACACACACACACATAAAGGCAAGAGCCTGGTAAAAAATTGTAAAATATTTTAAAACAGAGACAGAGACAACTTACACACATAAGAAAGCTAATAAATGAGAACTTTTGCGCGACAACAAGACCAAATCCCATTTTTACAAGGATATATAAAGGAGCCTCGGAGCCATTGCAGGCCAAAAAAAAAAAAGAAAAGAGAAAAAGGGTAAAGCACAACAAATCGCCGCAGGATATGCAGACAAGGCAAACAACAAGTCACGAACCAAAAACCCATAAGAAACCAAACAAGGAAAAGGGACGATAACACCATCCAGGCTGAAAATGAAGAAAAACTCGTCGAGCCGCAAAAGATTTGCAACATAAATATTTTCCATTTGCAGACAAACGATGTGAAAAACGATTTATAAAAAGCAAAAAACGAAAACAAACACATACAAATGGAAAACAAAACATGAATTGCGGCATTTATTTGTATATTAAGAGTTGATTTTTTGCGCTCATCGTTGTGTTTGCAATGGCGTCGGCCATTTTGCGAAGACTGCAACAAAATGGCGGCCACACAAAAAACAAATTGCATCGCCCGACGAGTGTTAAGCGAGCGGGTGCTGCTGGGGGTTTTCCTATTTGAGAATGGTAGCTTTCTGGTTATGGATTTTTACAAAATTATTTCCTTTAACTAAAAGTTTCGAAATTACAAAATTAACTAAACATATAACCTTTCCAATGCGATTTTCTATAATTAAACCAAAACTAAAACCTTTCCCGTCTTCCGGGTTTTAATGAAGACATTTCAAGGGATCTTATTCACAAATGTTACACACTTCTTATTTAATCCCCGCAGGGTAATTGGTTGTCGTGACTGAACAATGTATGCGTTGGCCCTTATTTTGCTTTATTTTTGTTAGTTTCCTTTTTTTGAGAAGTGGCATTATTTTTGAGTAATATGGGCAATGCATCAGGCTCAGATGCAGGATCTGGACGCAGCCCAGCCTCTCTCCTCCACTCGCCGACACTGTTTTTGTTGTTTGCATTCGTTGTTTAAGCACACACACACACACTTGACATATTCGTGCTGTCTGCTGGGATTCGGGGCATTTAATTTTTGGTAGCCATTTACAGACCCCAGGTCCCTAAGTCCTTTCCACAACGGAAAATGCCGTTTTCGGGGCTCTGCTGTGTAATGCAACTCCAGAGGCGTGGCTGCAGCTTTATTTCTCGTTGCCTCTTTTGTGTGCCTGTCTGTGCGCCGGAATGAAAAATAATTTTAAATGCCTGGAAATGTCTCTCCTTTTGATGGCTTCCCCAAAAATGTTTTATGTTTGCACTTTGTAAGCGGGTTAAGGGCTAAAATAGTAGATAGCTTCCGAATGTTTAGCTCTACATTATTACCAAACATTGAGATCTGTGTGTTTGTAGGAAGTGTAGCAAGTGTTTCCAGCTGGAGGAAAAACGTAATTCGTTCATATTAAGATATTTTTAGCTTTAAATGAATGATTACTCTTGCTTAATGCATTTAACATTAGCATTAATCATTTTAGATTTATGTCCCAATTTATTATTAAGGAAAGTTTTTGTTTATAATTTTGTCTGATCACTAACCAAGTTCTCTGCTGGCTCATATTTATAATTTGTAATTTTAATAAACAGATTTTATATCATTAATTTTCAATTAGCACTTTCAACGTGTATCTTTTTTGTGTCAATTTCAAATCATCATCGATGGCTCTCGATAAGTACCTGGTTACTGAATGACTTTTCGGTGACAGGCTTTTTAGTTAAATTTTGCGTAAACACTTTTTGGTACTCGACTCACACACTGGCACTTGAAGTCCCCTTAAAACATATTCACATCTATGCCGGCAAGTGTGTCTGTCTGCTATCTATCTAAACTAACAATCGTTTAAGTGCAGCAGCAAAAGCATCACGAGGGCCGTGCAAAGTGGATACTCGACCCGAACACACTATCCACTCCACCTATTACACCTTTTATCCGTTTTGGGATCATCCTTGTTATAGGAACTGAGAGGATACACTTCATTTATTACACTTCCTTAAAATAATATTGATAGAATTATGGATTATATTACAAAGTAGTAATATTTTATATTTATAAACTAAATCTCTCAGATTTTCCCTATTAGGTAAAGAAGTTTATTTTCTTTGGAATAATAAATAACCGAAAGATCTGAAGTATAAATTTAACAAAGCTTTAATTTTCAGGTGTTTTGTAAATTCCTAGATTTTTTTTTCAAATTCTTCTTGGCACCTAGGCGCTTTGTTGACGTCATAATTAGAACGAAGCCGACACAGATGCACATGACTTGGAAAAACAAATTGCACTGCACCCACAACCAGCCCACCCACCGGAAAGCTTGCGTCTCAAAGTTCACCTGTGGCAGATTTATGACACCGAATAACCCCGTTTCGACCACCCTGTTCGCCACACCCTGTCAACCCCTTCGTGTGCTAGATTTGTACATTTTCGTGCCACATTTTAATTTCTCTACACGAGCAGGGGGGGCGAGCTCGTGCTGTTGGTGGCGGGGTATTTTGAAAAACTCATTAACTGTGCACGCTACTTGGCACCTTTTCCTCCTTTGCTGACTCTTTTACCGCGTTTATACGATGTCTAATTCATGATAAGATTTCTAAAGTGTGGGTGTAGATAATATTTGTTTTTTTTTAACTATGAATTTGTAAAGATAACTGCAGGGGATAACCCTGGGGATTTAAAACCAGTACAAATAGTGCTTAAAAGTATGCTACAAAAATTTTAAATTAATACATTTTTAATTTAATTCCGTTTTTCATTGCATAAACAAAGTATTTTAGGTTAGTTTTCTCCAATTCTGTTTTCTTTTCATGTATTCCTTCCTACCTTTCAATTTGTTTTCATCTCGCTTTGCCCCTGCTTTATTCATTCTTCTTGTGTGTGTTTGTTGCCAGTTCTTGCGCCTTCCATTTCCATTTGTGGGCGAAGGTCGCTCAACTTATCTGCATGGAAAATAAGAAAGAAAAAATACTAATAGGAGGGCGTGGTCCTGTGTGCGAGGGTGTATATTGTGTGTGTGCACACACACGATTGCACAATAAGCCGATTTAAGAGCGAGAGGTGAACAACAAGAAAAGGGGGGAGACCTACATTAAATCGAGCAAATAATTTATGCTGACTAAATTGAAAAAAATGCAAATAAAGAAAGTATGGGTTAAATATATACTAAAATAACTTTAATGGGCTCTTTAATATACATTTAATTCTGTATTAATATAATTATTCATTAAAGAAATGGTCGATTGTTGCAGGTTTCGAATTTTACAAGTACTTTCAGCAGTTTTAATGGGATTTAAAATAAAATTAATGAAGCGTTCTGAAACTATCCCTATTTATGTAATATAAATAAAAGAAACCCCTTTGCAATTTAATAACTAATTAATAATCTTTTCTCTCTTTTTGCAGCAATGATTGAACTTCTACCCCTTGACACATTTGTTTCTCCATAAATAAAAACGTTTAACATAATAAAAAGCAAATCAAACTTTGTTATAACAAACAAAATAAAAACTGTAAAAGTTGTTGAACAAAAAAAAAAGTAAATCAATAGTTACAATCCATTTAAAGATTCCAGTACAGTAAATTGAAATGCAGTAAATAAATTACAAATAGTCTCTAAAACACACACAGAACAACCGAAACCAAAAACCAAATAAATAAAATCAAAACCATTTAAATACAATAAAATAAGGAGAAAAGCAAACGTTGTAAATCAACAGAGTAATACAATTTAACAAGCAACAATTTAAGTAAATTTATGCAAAATAGAAATGTTCGATTTCCACAACTCAGCAAACCAAATTACGCACAACAACGGCAGCAACAACACAAGCCACAATAACAAAAGCTTCTGCAACAATAACAACAAAAACCACAAAATGCATTTAAAAAGTGCAGCGGCAACGTCAACAGTAAAAACAACAATTCTGAAACATAATTTAAGCAAATTTTATGGATACGGTTGGATGCAAGTCTTCCTACTACTGACAGTCTTCGTGATTGGTAATCAAAGTGCCTGGCAGGAGAATATTCGACCAAAACTCTACGTTGAATTAGGTAAGTGTTACAAACTTGGAAATTATTAAATGGTTTTCTAATCTTTAAGATACTAACATTTCCATTGTTGAAAACTAATATTGGTTGCTTAATCTGTATATAAAATGTCGATATGTATATCAAGTTAAATTCTTGCAGGAAAGTCTCGATAATACGATCATTTTTGGATAGTTTCAACGTGAATCGATAGATTTTTGATATTTTTAAGGGTCGTATATCTTATCCAACGACAAAGAAATTTGTATAATCATATCTTGAAATGTTTTCCATCTCATATTAAACAGATTGCTTTTTACACCCTCAAGAAATACAATTTTCATATTTATTGGAATACTCGCTTAAATATAATCGCATTTATTCGACATGTGGCCAATGACTGTCACAGAAAGGAGTCAAGGGAATTGGCAGTGTGGCTTTGTGCGACATTCATTGTAACGATATTAAGACTACAGCAAAATGTCAATTTAAATTATGACCAGAGAAAGGAAACCGGAAGAGAGTGAAAGATACATACATACTCGTATATAGTTGAAATTATGCGAAAAGGAAGTCAGAGGAATCGAAGTCAACTGCCAAAAACTTTAATGACAACATTTTTATGAGCTCCAAAATGTAATTTGATTGCCAGACATACTGCCAATGGAAGGCCACCCAGATAGTTGGGGACATTCTGTTGAAGTTTGACTTTTGAAAACTCACCTCTTCGGTGGAGCCGCCCAACTCATCAGCAAACCTTTTTGCCATCCTTCGAAAGTATCCACTTTTGGCAGGTGAAGAAGTTTGCTGGAGAAATGAAGCAATAACCTGGACACTGAGCGGGTGTGCGGGAAGGAGACATACTATAGCTACTAATGCACACACTTTCTGAGATATATCCAGACATCCACACGTTTTGCTATCTTAACTATAAATAACAAAAATTCCTGGAAGACATTATTTGCATAAAAGTGGCGAAGCTTTCAGTGCTGGAATGAGTGTGGGGGGTGGCTGGATGTTGGATGCCTGCTGCCGTTGCCAGCAGCTATTTCTAGTGTCCTGTGTGTGTCCTCGATGTGCGACATCGTCGTCATCGCCATCATCATCATCATCGTCACCATGATGATCGCCGTCAGGAGTTACGTTGCATATGCAAATTTCGTTTCTTTTCCATTTCTTTTTTTTACTTTTTTTTTTTTGGCCCAAAAAGTTGGGCGACTTCTTCATCGTGCTCACGTAGGTTGGCGACGGATATAAGCATGCACATATAGTTGTCTATTTATATGGTGTACCATAGTACATAGAGTTGTGAGAGGTATATACATACATATGTATCTGCTGCCATGCCAGGCTTTTTGTTTGTGCAAGATGAAGCAGAAAAAGTTGCCGGCAGCAGATGGAGAAAAGTCGAGTCGAGACACTGGAGTTCGGCGAAGAAGAACTAAATTCTAAAAATATATTTTGCACGCTTCAAAAATTACGTTATTAAACGAGCATTTGGCACACACTAAATGGGAACAAAAGTGAAGGAAAAAAGAGGTTTTCCTCATGAAAATTTAGCATTCTTGCAAGAGTCTATAGAGAGGATTTTTGAACGGAAGAGATAACATGTTACCTTGTGTCAGGAAGTACTACAATCTATATATCCTAAGAATTTTAGTATGCTAGTGCACATTCAATTTAAAATGTCCTTTTTGTAGTAAAAACAAGAAAGGAAGCTAACTTCGGCACGCCGAAGTTTGTATACCCTTGCAGATATTATTTCATTACATTTCAACTATATTTATAATGTTTACAGTTTGACAGTTACAGTTTTACATTCACACCTTTACATTTTCTCTACATCTACCGATCGCTCCTATGGCCGCTATATGATATAGTTGTCCGATTTTCATGAAATTTATACCAAAATTCTACAATAATAAAATAAGCTTATATCTCAGAGTAGATGAAAATACGTTGAAAAACAACGAAGTTATAATTTGTTTCCTATTAATTTCCCGATCGTTTCTATGGCAGCTATAAGATATAGTCGTCCGATTTTCATAAAATTTTTACCAAAATTCAGAAATAATATAGAATGGCCATATCTAAAAAATGGTGCAAAAATGTTAAAAAACAGCAAAGCTATAATTTTTTTTCGAAAAATTTATCGAACATTTGTATGGCAGCTATATGATATAGTCGTCCGATCCGGCCCGTTCCGACATATATAGCAGTGAGAGTATATAGAAGACTATATGCAAAGTTTCATTCAGATAGCTTTAAAACTGAGGGACTAGTTTGCGTAGAAACAGACAGACGGACAGACGGACAGACGGACAGACGGACAGACGGACAGATGGACAGACGGACAGACGGACAGACGGACATGGCTATATCGACTCGGCTGTTGATGCTGATCAAGAATATATATACTTTATAGGGTCGGAAACGTCTCCTTCACTGCGTTGCAAACTTCTGACTGAAATTATAATACCCTGCAAGGGTATAAAAATATAGGAAATGAAATTTCTTGTTAAGATAGAGAATCTTTGCTACGAAAAATATATTTTTTTTTAGAATTGCATATTTTTATCTATATTTTTAAAGGTTTTAAACATTTATTTCCTTATATAAAACGTTGTCCAAACCTTGTTGACAATTTTCTACACATTTTTCTTTTCAATTTACTATTTCATCATGCTCAATATCTCATTAGGAAAACTCATTTCTCTTTGCCAACTGCTGTTGCCAACTGAAATGGATTTTTTTTTTGTTATTATTAGTTTAACTGCAAAATCAACTCAGGGATAATCTGTGAAACGAACCTGTTAACCCTCTGCGCACTGCTAAACCAATTACTTAGCTCCAGGCCCCTTCACTTCTGCTTCCACTGCACTGTCAGGGGACATTGCACGTGTTAAAGTTCATTTAAAATCCATCGGGGAACGGGAGAGGAGTGGCAAGGAGGTAAGGAAAACCGTCATTTCAAAAGAGGGTGGTCGCTGGGTGACAATTTTTCTCTTCTCGCCATCTTCTCGCTGTTTGGGGCACTCGTGCATAACAGGAAAATAAGGTTAATGGGGAAATTATGAATGCGCCCAAGGAGGTGCAGACCAAATGAGCAAAGGGTGTTGTTGGATGTGTGTGTGAGGGTTTCATATGCCATTGGTGGCCAGGAAGCAAAGGGAAAGCCAGAAAGAATGGTATAGTCGAGGGCCACGACTCAGGTACACATACACAAAGAATAATATTGTTTAAAGATTTAATGAGTAATTTTCAAATGAAAATATTTATTATTTACTTTTACAATGAAAAAAAGTGACTGGAGTACAGAGAGTTGGTTCTCACTCTTATGACAACTTCTGATAGTTTCGCGTGCTTCTTAAGCGTCCTCAGGTGCAGCTCTGTTAATATAAGAAATATATATATATACAAATTTTATATGAAAAAGATACACGGTCGGAAATGCTCTTTGTTAAATACAAAAAATGAAATATCCTTTCGTACGTTCCACGAGCACCGGCTATAAAAAAGCAACCAAACTCTGTTATACGCAGTCTCCTCCTCTCGGGGTCCTTTCGACCATAAAATATTACAACCCTGCGTGGCCAGGGTTGCATTTGACAGCCGCAAGTGGTTGTCATTAGGAGCTGCGACAAAACGGTCATTTAAATGCGCTCTTCTTCTCTCCATTTGCCTGGTGGTGGTACTTCTTTTTCATACCCTTTACTTCCCCCCTTTTTGCAGCGAAATTACGTCCATCAAGTGGGTGGCAAGGGGTGGCAAGGCAGGCAGCTAATGCTGATCGTTTTGCGGCATTTTCGCGCTGCATTTTCCCCCACAGAAGAAGCAGGCTGCTGGAAACTCACGTTTTTTCTCAGCACAAATTTTGTGGACACTTGTGTAAAATGTATCTTATGCTTATTTCTTGGTACGTGCAATGAAATTGGGATTACCAATCCAATCTGGAGGGCAGGGCATAGCTGAGAACAATATAAATTCTTTGCAAAAGGTACTTTTGGGTAGCTTAAATACACTTGAAATACCAATTTTAATTAAATGTAATTCATATAGTTACATTATTCTATCAGATAATTGATAATTTTCTTTAAATTGAGCAGTTAATGGTTTAAGTATCGAGATCAAAGTTGCAATTATCGGATTTAAATGACTCGAACTTCCGTTGATGACCAATTGGGTGTGAGAGGAGTGCATTATTTAGACTACATTAACTGTGGTACTTATACAGTGAAAAATAAAAAGTAGTTATTTATATAAGAAAGCATTGAATGGCATCTACTTTATTTTAAAATTTTCTTTTCTAAGAAAATTTCCTGTAAGTCTGTAAATCTCCACAAGAACTTCGCGCAACTTAATATACACAGTTAAATATTATTAAAATTTCCTCAAGTTGATCGCCAATTTAAATTACATTTTGTCCGTGCCTTTCGGGTTGAAGTGTAAAGTGAAGGTCTTTCCTGGAACAGTTACTTCCTGTTTCCCAGCTCCCGTGCCTTGGCCCCCGATGTTCGAAGTCGCGTCGCCCAAAAATAGTTCTGTCGGCGACGTTCTCGTCTTCATTTTCGCCTTCGTCTCCCTCTGGCTTGTCGGCTTGGCCGTCATTAAAACTGTCTGCAACGTGTTGGAACAGCAAACATAACTGTTAATTGCCATTTGTGCGCGAAGTCGGAGAATTCATTTCGGTCTCATTTTCATATTTTTCGCCGCATGCGCCTCATTACAATTTAATTCACAATGTAATTGCAGACGTACACATCGACACTCCCCTCCTATGTGTGGCATAGATGAAACTTAAGCAGAAGAAGGAGAAGGGTGGCTGGCAGCCACCGACTTGGCAGAAAGTTTTCTTGCAGTTTTGCGCCACTTGACACGCGCCTCGCATAATTTCCACACGTCTTATGTGCCACAAAACGCGCATATGTATGCACTACACTGCTTACGCCTTCCCCAACCCAAGGTTTCCACAATTTTACCCCCTTGATTCGCTCCCAATTTGACTCTCCCCTTTGGCATTTCCT